AAGCAATATGCCGGTATTTCAAATCTGAGCAATCGGGGACCGGAAAGGCAAATGAAGAAAGAAACAAATATACGTGCCCGGATTTTTTAGTAGGCGAGCTGGTGTACGTATAACAGTAACCTGCAGTCTTGCGTGCAGGTAGCCCTCCTTGCGTTACTAACAGTTCGTAATTTTATATCGAATTGGGTTATTCTATTGTACAACTCGGGTGTTGAGGGGTAGTTTAAAAATGTTCTTCCAACTTAGAAGGCTTGTTTTCGTTTCCAAATGGTTTTCCCGCATTTTCAAGACCTCTGTTACATTCTCATATTAAGCAATTACTGGAAGCCGCCACGATTTCTCCCTCATAATTAAGACCGGGGTCGATCACCGGAAACCAATGTCAACCCAGGGCAAAGAGTTAAAATAAACTGGTAAATCGCCAGCGTGTGAGAGAAGCAATGCGGGTAACTTGATCTGAGGTAGGCGTAGTGTGGTCGTCTCTGTGAAGTAAACGTTCCCTTACTGGGGTAGGCGTGGTGTGGTCGTCTCTGTGAAGTAAACGATTCCTTCGCTGAAGGTCACATACAGCATGTTGAATTATACGTAATATAATAACCGCTCAACTGTACATATTGGCTGTGTTCTTATCATTGAATAACATTAATAACCGTTTCAAAATGCTGTATGTATGTGAAGAACGACCCTGTCATATAATAGATTTACCCATATGTACTTCACGGCGTAATGTATGTACGTAATTTGCGCCCTCATCGTCAGCTAAATACCATTTTATAGCCGTCGACCGAGGGCGCATTTCTTCAACTTGATCATGAGCTTTCGGGCTTATGACACATCTCTGATAATAAACTTGATGAGAAAGTAGTGTTTCTAGCATCGCCAACTATAATAAGGCACGAGTTAGTTGTTTCACAAATTTCAGAAGCAACGACCATATAACGAAACCCCGGAGGGTTCACTTCCTACAATTTATCTTACGTGGATGTGCCGCCCTTTGGGTGTGTTTTTTCAGCCATCTGGTCTTAAATGGGATCATCCCAATGACTGATTGTCAAATCGCACCCAGAATGCGTGCATACTAAGTCATGTATGCAAAGTATTTTTTGAGATAATTTAGGTCTATTTTTAATATGCAAAGACCTTACTTTTGTCTAAAATGGAGTCTGTCTGACCAAGGAGGTAATAATATTACCTCCATGGTCTGACAAATGTTGGGTCTAAAATCGGGTCTGCCGGACAACTATTTGGTCTAAGATGGGAATACATTTTTTGTCCAATTGGACTAAAATAGGCTCTGGCTTTTGCAGTGCGACTACACACCAGTACACCCCACCCCACCCCTCCCGGGGGTGGGGGGGACAAAACGAAACATTTGTCAAGGCAGATTAAAACTGAATTTTTGCACTTGTAGTCCAATAAAGATAATATGTAAGTGGGATATTTACAAATATAAACAAAACATATATTTAATGCAGTTTAACAGTCTGTCACAGTGTTACTCACTTTGTACTCACCGGCAATATCAATATATAAATAACCCAGAACCAAATGTGGCAGATACTGTAAACGCATACAGTTTTAAATCTGCTAAATGAGTCTGTGTGAAAATGATGTATAATTAGTACATTGTTACACAAGTTACATTGGTTGACTTGAAAATCAGCAAATTTAAAATTCAATGGATATGCTCAAAATAGTAAAAGTTACATCCTAGTAAAAGTAATCCATTTACAGTATCACAGGCTATGGGGCTATCAATGACATCACTGGGATTCGGTAATGTGAAGCCACATTACAATAAATGCGATACATTTTATAAATATTTACCTTTATATATATTCTTACACACACATAAAACTATACACACACATAAATTAAAACTGACAGGCACTGTTTAGTAGTGCATTGGATCTGAAGTGACTGGCAGGTAATCAATGGATATGCTAGTATCGTCTATAGAGGTCAGCGATGGAATATTCCTTGTGCAGTCTCAACTTGTGCTCAAAGTGTAGTATTGCCCTTCCCGACAGTAAATGGAATATTCCCTGTGCAGTCTAAACTTTGCTCACAATACCAGTATATTATAGCACCTTCCTCTCCCAGACAGCAAATGAAATGTTCTTTGTGCAGTCTTGACCTTTTGTGTAATGGCATTATTTATTGCATGCAAGTCTGAACCTTGCTTGAGGCAAAACACATACCACACATGTTCTACTATAACTATGTTGTGACCAAGTTGTGATGATCAAACTACTTCCCTACTCACAAAATACGAGCATTTGAATGAGAAATATTATAGCTCTTTTGAATGTGATTGTGCCATTTCCGCCAAAACTCAATTTTGGCACAACCACTCATTTAAAAACAAAAAAAGTGCTTTTTCCAGAAACCATATTCCAGGAACTACAAGACTCAGTTCCAGTCTAACACACATCCAGAAAAAACTTAAACGAGGACTCTTGATTATCACATCCACTAGATTTTGCATCACACTATAAAAACACACCTTAGTCAACCCAAGATCTGAAGCTTACTGTCTTGTTCCATCAATATGGTTGAGGGCAATATAACTATTGACAATAAAAGGCCTTTCTTACTAGAAAGGTTTACTGGCCAGCGCCTGCCAGTCAACAGATTGTAGCCCAGCGTAGATGGACTGTGTCGGGCATAGTATCATAACACAGACAGCCCCCCCCCCCCCAATAGTTAGCTTCAATCAACAGTGATATACGTATGGCTAGTAAGATTGTTGACATTGAGGTCTAGAGGCACTGAAAACTAATGATTGAAAAATAGTTATTTATTTTCAATAATCAAGAATTATTTTAACATGAACATTGCATCAAAAAGAGAACACAATATTGCAAATTACTAAAACTTGTTGCAATTTGATGAAATCAGCATATGTATGTAATGATATAATGTTCCATACTCATTCCACAAATTAATTATGAAGAAAAATCACAATGCTTTATGTTCAATATTGTTACACATTGTTTGTATAAAATTAAAACATGCACAGTCACATTTCATGTAAACATATTTTATGCACATTGTATTGTGACACCACTGCCCTTCAATGCACAGATACATCAACTCAAAAAATTCATTGTTTAACTGCTAGTTCTGAACATTTCACAATACTCCACAAAATCATGGTTAAGGCCAGACTTTTTTTATTCCTTGTTTCTCAAGTTTTTATAAGGCAATTTTTTTGAGGGCGGGGAAAAAAATAAAATTAATTCTTTTTTTCCATTAGATTTGTGTGAATTTTATTCCATG